TATATATTATGATATATATATATATATATATATATGGGTACTATATATATAATAATATATATATATATAATATAATATATATATATATATATATATATATATATATATATATGTATATGTGTGTATATATGAATCTATGTGTATTTCTATTTCCTTAGAAATGTTATGGAGGCAATGGAATGGCTTCTAGAACAGGGCAACAGAAGCAGTAGTGCACCTGGCAGTGATGAAGTTGATGCTGGAGAGCAACAGGATGGCCACAGAACAAACAGCACCACATGCCCGCAGTTTCTTTCAGCTTCAAGGATATGTCTGAGAGGCCAGCGAATAGGATATTGAACACCTTCTTGCAATACCATCGTAAATGGTTCCAGGTTTGTTAAGGATCCACATGTTTTATACACTTTGTGAACTTGACTTGAGTGTTTATGCATATGATTTATGATCCACTTTTCATCATAATGGTATTTCCTTTTAACAGACAAGATCTGCTCTTCATTTGTAATAGTTTCACTATTAATTTTATAGAAAAAAACTCTTAGAAATTAAACTATTTATGCCACATCATGTGAACTGTTTCATTGTCAGTTTATGCTCCTTCCACCAGGATAATTCTATTGTCAATACTATAAATGGCTTGACATTTATTTTTTTATAAATTTAATCTTTGAATACCTATAATATAATCTTCCAGCAAGAAGCAAATAGCCTGATCTTCATTGCTATTTACAACAGAAAAGGGTGTGAATGTGTAAGAATAATTCCAAAATGCAATATAAATAATCTATGGTTTGATATTACATGGTAATCTTCATCAGAATTATGTGATGATGTACTAAAATTAAAATTACAGAACTTTACTATGGAATTATTCAATACAATTTTGATTTTTTAAGATTTAGCCTAATTAGCAGTTTACACTGAGTATTCTTTGTATTAAGGGAACCGTCTCGGGAAATGGCCACCTTTCCCTACTCATTTCATCATAAAAAAAAAAATTGTTGAAGATAACCCATTGATTCTTTTTGCATAATATATTTGTCTCATATATAATTTTGACCTCACACCCTCATAGGGGAGGACGCCTTTTTTTTTGGGGGGGGGGGGGTCTGGTTGACATAGCTATGAGTACTATATTTGGTTTTGTTTATTCAGCATTAAAAAATGTATTTATTTTTTTATTAAGGTCAAAATTCAAAGATCGGCTATTTTACACGGCCTCAGGGCTCCGAGGCTCTAGTGAAAGCAAACAAACTGCAATTGATTTGCAAAAAAATTATGATCCCGTAACGTAAATAAGGTAAAGTAAACAAAGACCAGAGATACGACCTATTATATTTTGGCACCTTTCCAAAGTTCATCACTCTGGTATTTTTCTCTAAATCTAATGATATTATATATATAAAAAAAAGCTTATTTAGTGTACTTTGCAATATGATGATTACCAAGTCAATCAGTATTAGCATTTTCAATAGGGACGCTGTCCTATAAAGGTATGTATTTTTATATATAAAAATATAATATATATTATATATATATATATATATATATTATATATAATATATATATAATATATATATATTATACATATATATATATATATATAAATGTAGATGTTTTTGTCTGAAAAGTTTAATAAATGCATTGAACCATAGAAACAACTGGGATATTTGCGAATTTATGGTACCTAAGACTACAGTAACATCTAAAACATAATAGTTTTTATCGGGAATGCACAAAACAGAAATGATAGCTTTATTAAACTAGATGAAACTGCGCACACAATCGAGATAAAAATTCCATAAAGTTTTTATATTTCAGACCAGATATTACTGAGTACTATCATCTTCAATATGAAATAATCAGTATCTTGCTTATACATCTGAAATTTAAAAATCCGATATTTTGGTAACCTTCACATTGAATTGGCCCCCACAAAGGTTAACGACCAATTTTCAATCAAATCAAATTTACGATGCCATAACGTACCAACCGTTGAGTCAAGTCTAATGGTAATATTTCAATCCTTACTTATACGGCTATTTTCAAACATTAGTGCTTCATACTAGGTATACGAACAGATCATTTGTAAGCTACATAATATTACCAGGGAGTCTCAATAGAAGCATATTTAGTATGTGAAAGGACAAACAAAACTTACTTTTTTCTTTTTTTTTTAGATATATATTACACAAAATATTTCATCATAAATCACTGATATAATTTTTTTCTGATGATGGTATAAAGTGTTCCTTGATGAACATTCAAAATCATATCTATGCGCAATGTCATACATCAACATGCCGTATATGCGATTGCAACAAGCAAAGGTTCACATAAATGTACTTGGGCGCTCATTTGCGTGTTCAGCGGGTCTTGTGTCGGATGCAAAACAATGAGCCCACAGTAGGCGTTTTAATACTGCATTAGGTATTTCCTCATCCAGTACCTATACTCTTATGCTAGCTAACTCAATTGACCCCCCCCCCCCCTAGGACAG